CCGGACATGTCCGGGAAAATCCGGACGTATGGTAACCCTAATGGAAGTGCTATTCTGAGGTGCAGTTTCACTGATATAGAAATATAAGGAACAGAGGGAGTAATGCTGATGTTAGCTTAATACTTTGTATTTTATTTAAAAAAGTAAAAACAAAAAAACTTCCTTGAGAACTGCTATACAAATACAAAGCTGTTGATTACAGCTTACAGCAGGGGTTGGCAATCTTTCAGAAGTGGTGTGCCGAGTCTTCATTTATTCACTCTAATTTAAGGTTGCGCGTGCCAGTAATACATTTTAACGTTTTTAGAAGATTTTTCTATAAGTCTATAATATATAACTAAACTATTGTTGTAAGTAAAGTAAATAAGGTTTTTAAAATGTTTAAGAAGCTTCATTTAAAATTAAATTAAAATGCAGAGCCCCCCGGACCGGTGGCCAGGACCCGGGCAGTGTGAGTGCCACTGAAAATCAGCTCGCGTGCCGCCTTCGGCACACGTGCCATAGGTTGCCTACCCCTGGCTTACAGGTTCAAAGAGGCAAACTGAGAAGTTAAGTGTGTGATGAACTAACATAAGACCACAGGATGGACACACTGTAGATTAGGGTAGTTAGGATTTTTGGATAAAGGGAATTTGGATAACTGGAATTATACTGTATTACAAAACCTAGATAATAAATTAAATTGATAGTTACATGTCCATAGGTTCCTGAGGACTTGAGTGAGATGTAGGATTAAAAATAATATTGATAACAGCCTTCCTTTTAAGGAAGTGTATTATATATATGAAGCTCAAATTAATAAATTTAAGGACACAAATTATAACATTGTATAAGCTTTTATACCAGAGTCACTACTATGATAACTGAGATCTTTAATTGAAAGCTAAGTCCTCCCAACTACAATGTGAAGTAATGTATTTACTGAGCTGCCTGGAGTATTTTCTTTCAAAGTCACTGATACTATATCACATCAAATGCACCCCTGAATGGTTGTATTTGGCCCACTCTATTTTACAGGACAGGGTCAATA